CGACACTCGGTCATGGACAACATCGACTACAAAGCGAAGGTCGGCTTCGTGCCGGCTGGCGACGGAGGCCGAGTCACAATCGTCCTCTCGTTTGCGTCGGAATCCCCTTCGCTCCTCGGAGCCGAGGTGCCTGTCTATGCGCTGTTCATCCTATCAGCGCGAGCTTCCCGTCCCAACGCCGCCGTATCGTCCCTGGCCCACAGGCGTGCGGCGCCAAGAACGCCCTCGTGAAGGACGTCCCCGCAAAGTCTGGCGCGGAGGCCTCCGACGAGAGCAGCCTCAAGAAAGACCCTTCGGCAGAGGCGCCCGCCGCGGGCGCGGTCGACTCGGCCAAGGCCAAGGCCACGGCCAAGGCCGTCGGCATCCCGCCCGAGAGCGAGCCCAGCCCGCTCAAGGACGGCATTGACGCGGGCGGCGGCAACGTCGCGGGCGAGTCTTCGCCGATGAAGTCCTTCGCGAAGGTCGGAATCGTGCCGGCTGACGACGGCCGCATCACGATCGTCATCTCCGAGTCGGTGTCGCCTTCGCTCCTCGGAGCCAAGGTGCGCGTGCGCACGCCAGGATTGTGATCATCCCTCTCCCGTCTCCGAAAGCCTGCGCGTACTCTCCCTCGCCCACAGGCGTGCGGCGTCAAGAGCGTCAAGGACATCTCCGTGGCGAAGTCTGGCACGGAGGACGTCCTCAAGAAGGAGCCGGCCGCGGTAAAGGCGCCCGACGCGGGCGCGGTCGACTCGGACAAGCCCAAGGCCATGTTCGCCACCCACGCGCCGAGCCCGCCCGCCGTTTTCTGGTCCAAGTTTACGCGCCCGACCGGCCCGCCGACGGCCCCCACCGGCGCCGTCAAGGGCGCCCTCGAGAAGGACATCCCTGCGGCAGAGTCTGGCGCGGAGGCCTGCGTTGACGAGACCGGCGTCATCAAGAACGACCCGGCGCTCAAGCCGGCCACCAAGGTCGCCACGGCCCTCAAGCCGGCGGCGGCCGGCGGCGCGCCGCTGCCGTCGATCAAGGACTTTCCGGAGAAGAAGCCCGCCGCCCCGGCGGCGAGCGCCTGGCATTGTGCGCGCCGGCGTCTGCCGGCCCACTCTGTGAACCCCACCCCGCATTCGACGCGTAGGGCGACTGGAACGTTTCGAACAAGGACTTTCCACACCGACGCGAGCGAGTGCACCGACGCCACGCCGGGCCACTTCGCCACCACCGGCTCCACCGAGCAGACGGCGTGCCGCGAGGGCAGCTTCGCCAACGGCACCCGCAACGACGCGTGCGAGCTGTGCCCCGAGGGGTACTACCAGGACCAGCCCGCCGCCGCCGCCTGCGTCCGCTGCGCTGCTGGCAAGTTTTGCCCGGTGGGGTCGTCGCGCGAGCTGGACGCGCAGTGCGAGGCGGGCAAGTACGCCAGGCTGACCGACCGGAGCGGCGACCCCGAGTGCCTCGACTGCCCCCG